TATTGAGCTTGAAGTCAAAATCGGATAGTAAATGTACCAATGACGCCATGGGAGACAAGTGCTATCGACCAATCCAATATCATAAATTTGTTCGCGGTAGAACTGAAAATATTCGATTTTGTCGAATTTGCACGGACACACGTTTTTTAATGTACATAACCGTGCCAAAAATCATGATTGACCTCGAAAAAGTGGCATCCTGTATTATGCCATGCATACATGTGTATAATTCAATGGTCCTAATACGTCATGCGCTCAACATCGAACCTTTTGCTCCATCTCTTGCCCTTTGGCTCCACTACTTTCGAAAAATATCGATTTACAAATTTAAGAAATCCTTCGGGAGTAATTTATTTTGCACAAAGGACAAGTTCTTGTTACGGGTTGATATTTTACTAATGCACTTTTTCAAGAAATCTGAAGGGGAGGCATTTCTATGGTTGGGAAGTTCAATATTCTACAAATCATCGTTCGCTTCGTCAGGGAGAAATGTTCTCCCGGGCTTGATATAATTTTGTTTTTGTAACAGATTAGATCATTGGAAGCCTAAATCAATCCTACACGGAACTACATTTTCCGTTTTTCGAAAAAATACAACTTAAATGAATGACAAGACAAAAACATAAACAATACTTACAATTAGCCGTTTAAATCGGCCTTCCGCTCTATCTCGGAAATGCCGTTCGCTCGTTTTACCGTACATTACCTAATTATAATGCAAAATTACAAACATAAAGCACCGGCTTACAGATTTATACCCGGTTTATCAAATGTCTCGGAGTTCTTGTGATAACTCTGAAGATGTCTTATGATAACTTTTGTTATTGCCAGTGTGTTTCTTGCGCTAAATCACGGCACGTTTAAGCGTTTTATGAGATTGTAAATCATTATGAAATGTAGTACGCTCAACCTTTGCGCAAAAAATAGGATATATAATGTTGGTTTTGAGTGAATTTTAGTTCAAGAGATATTATTTCTTATCCCTGTTTCTTTTTCATAGTATTTTTTTTTTGTTTGAAGCAGATTTCTTAGACTGGAAAAAGGATTTATGTACTGGTTTCCCAGTAGTTTCCGGCTCCTAGCAGTATTCTGGCCCTTTATCATTTTCATCCAGGCATACAGTCTATTTTTTCTCAGTTAAGCATCTTTGTTACTGCATCAATCAGATTTCTATGTAAAACGGCAGTTATAATAGTACAGCGATTAATATGTTTCAAAATTTTGTCTGTTGTTTTTAAGTTACATTAGCGAACTTGCGACACTTGCAAGCAACACCTGGGGAATTCTAGTTTGAATGCCCATGCATAATAACAGAAATCACATTCTAGGTAAACTTTTAAACAATATATTTGCACACGACAAGGAAAAGTTTGGGAAGTTATATCTATTTGAAAATTGCTTATTGGTACTGAATTATATTCAAAATAAAAAAGGTCCGAAAAACTGTTATGAAATTTTGAATAAATGTAAGCAAAGGTGTTACATCTCAGGCCTTTATTCCATTAAAATGTAAAATAAAAGAGCAACATTAAAACATAGTAATGCTGGACAGGTACGTAACTTTGTTCTGTCAAAGTTTGCACTCTTCGGTAGACAGATTTTTATTTTATTTGTTAAAAAGTGCGATTTGGGGCCGGCAACTGCTATGAAACCAGTAGGGCATTTATGTAGGTGATAACATGCGCTTTGAAATACTCATATATGGTATTTTCATGTATATTTTTCTGTCGACGTTTGATGAGTATTTCCCCTAATGTAATCTTAGTAGAGGAAACTGCTACTTTTGATGTAATTGATAACAAAAATATATAGTCAAACTTAGTTCGCTCGAACCTGGAGAGACAGTCCAAACTTTTTCGAGAGATCAGTAGTTAGAGCCAACCGCAGTTGAGTTTTTATCATGTATCGTACCTTTTTAAGACATAGGTGTGGAAATTATGCTGGTTATACACTTATTTATTATGGTATAAAATGATACAAATTACTTAGCCCTTTTAGGGAAGGGCCCACGATAATGTTGTTAGAACTTTTGGCCCAACCCTTTTGTATGTACACTTGATTATGTCTGTAAAATTATGAAATTGTATATTGTGTGTATATTTATACAATGAAATATTATTAAACTAAAGGAAACATGCCTATATATTGTCTGCTTAAGAAAGGTGGTTGCTTAAAACATGTGAAACTGAGAACAACGTGTACGTCTTGAGACATTTTTGTTTCGTGGTTTAAGCTATTATACTATTGAATATCAGTGGCCGCTGGTTCAACTTTTACTGTAGATGATAGCCTATCACACAGACACTTAGGACCAACGTTTTATCCACATTTTTTTGTGCAAAGGATGATCGTACTGCATTTCATAATGATTTACAATCTTATTAAATGATAATAAACGCCAAAACATGCCGTGATTTAGCGCACACTGTTTAGAAACACACTGGTAATAACAAAAGTTATCATAAGAACTCTGTGACATCTTCAGAGATATCACCAGAACTCCGGGACATTTGAAAAATCGGGTATAAATCTGTAAGCCGGGGGTTTGCAATTTTGCATTATAATTAGGTAATTATGTATGGCAAAGATGGAGACCAGAAATAAACTGGTCAAAACTTGTGAACTGGCAAGTAATTTGGAAATTTTACTCAAAACTACCAGATTTGAAGCAAGAAGCGATGAAAAATGGCCTGTGAATTAGTTTTGACACATAATACAAGATGTAAGACAAGCTTAATCATTAATGTTTAATTAAGCACCTACAACTCATTTTTGAACGATGAAAATAACCATTTTTGACGAGTGATTTTGTAGTATATACAAATTTTTTCCGACGAACTCCGTGACATTTATCACAATAACTCCTGAACAAGTTATCATAAGAACTCCATTCTTCATGTTACACTTCCTCCCCCGTGATAACAGTTACTTTCTCTTTTTTTTCTTCTTTTTTTTTTGTCTGGGAGTACTGCGAATCCCCCACACCCACGACCCTTAAGAAGGGAGGTTCAAACTTGAGCACTCCAGTCGAACAATTCTTGACAGTAAATCTAATTGTATTCAATGAGTTCATTAATTTATCCATGGATACGTTCTCTCTTTTTTGGCTGTTTAATTATAACGCTAAATGATATAAATAGCAAGCTAAAAAGACATTGTGTACCTTGGGTTGTTATATTTACATTTAGGTCTGGCTTGCATATCTTTATATGAGCCGCTTCACGACAAAACCAACATAATGGGTTTGCGACCAGCATGGATCCAGACCAGCCTGCGCATCCGCGCAGTCTGATCAGGATCCATGCTGTTCGCTATCATTTTCTCTACGTGTTATAGGGTTTGTAAGCGAACAGTATGTATCCTGATCAGACTGCGCGGATGCGCAGGCAGGTCTGGATCCATGCTGGTCGCAAACCCTTTATGTTGGTTTTGTCGTGACGCGGCTCATATGTCGTTCGATGAAATATCTTTATCTAATACGGGGAAGTCAAAGACCGGGCCCGCGAAGCGGGTCCGGGCTTTGGCTTGCCCGGCTATAGACTACATGTGTATATTTAAATGAAAATCAAATAGAAACAATTAAAAAATATATAGAATTCTATACCTATCAATGAAATTTTCAGTGTCAGTTCTAGTCGGGCGCCGCCATTTACAATGTAACTCAATGATAAAAGGCGGGGTATTCCGATAACGGAACAAATCTCAACTTTTCGGATAAATAATAAACGTCGAGTGTTCCGAGTGAAAACGGAAGCGGTGCTGTAATACCGAATGACAATTTTAAAACGGAAAGAATGAAAGGAATTTTTTAACGACTTCCCCGTTCATAGGCTTTGCCTAATTTCATATTATATATAGCTACTGTGCTCCTCTTAGTTCACAGTACTTAACGCGTTGAACCAAGAAAGATAACAACAACTGAAACTTATGGTACAAAAAAATTGTTATAAGCTATAACATATAGGTATTTTCTGCTGTGTGGCACAAGTAAACAACAATATAATCAGTCAAAGTCAATTTTAATGAACCAAATGTAGACCATAATTATGTCGGCCTGTTTGAAAAAAGTATGTCATCATGTTTCAGTTAAAATTTCTACATGCTATTTTGCTTGATTTTAAATATTTAAATTATCCGTACTTTGTAACTCAAAATTTATTTTTTTAACAAACAAAAGCATAAAAAGTGATGATTATTTCAGACATACGCACTAATTTAATGGCCTATTGTTGCTTTTTGCAGAAATTTGTAAAATGTTGTTCTTTGTTACATAAAAAAAATCTAGAGATTTAAAATATTTTGCACAAAAACTTTGTTGTTTAGGTGTATGAATAAAATATGTCAATTCTGACCAATTTTTATGCCACTACCGTGAAATAAGTGATGACGCGGAATTAGTGATGTTGAGTATATGTTGACTTAGAAAAACGGGCATCTATTATCCATGCTCAAAATATGTTGATGTGCCAAAGCTAGATTCTGAGATATGTTCTTGCTCACAGTGATTTTTTTACCTCTGCATCCTGAGTCCAGGACTCATTAAATTTGCTGTGGATGCAAAGTTTCAAAAAATGTGCATCTTTTGGATGCATACTTTTTCTGAGTTGGGAGTCCTGTCTTACAGGAATTTGGTAATAACTTTTGATTAATCTCAAACTAATGGAAATAAACTTATTAAACTATTTGACAGTTTTGAATAGTTTCAGTATCAGAAGCATTGTAATTAATGTAGAAATCAAATTCATTTTTTCTTCATTCCATTGTTAATATACCTTTCATATCACTAAAGCAATATTAAGCCTTCATACTTGGATTTTTCTGCTAAATTTTGGGACTCATAGATTTATAGCCCAGCGAGTCCTAGGACCCACACTGATGAGTTTGTAAAAAAATCACTGGCTCAGATCGATATATTGACCAATGACCATACACAAAATTGGACCAAGTGAATATTTAGTGTGTGTTAACCTACAGTAAATTTTACGGAAGTAAAATCACATGATAAACCGTAAAACAACACGGAACCAAAATGTTACGATTTTTTTCAATTTTTCTCTGTTTGATCTCTTTTGCAGTGCTGGTTGCCAGCAATGATAACCAGAAATGTAGATTTATGAGACATCTTAGTACGTCAGAGAAAAAGGGAGAAGGACAAATTGAATTGCTTCGAGGAAAACGGTATGTATAAAGTGGAATAGTATTCGGATATTTAAAATTAACATGATTTTTTCCATGGTTTACATTAAATAGGGGTATGTTTACAGAAATATTAAAGAAAGAAATTAGTGTATATATTCATAAAGTTATATTAGAATAGAATATTTCAAATAGATTGTAAAAAAAAAGAAAGAAAGAAGGTATTTTAACAATATTTTTAATAGTATTTTGACATATGATATACTCAACATCAGTAATTCCGCATCATCATTTATTTCACGGTAATGACCAGTTTTAAAATTGGTTAGAATTGACATATTTTGTTCATACACCTATACTATAAAGTTTTTGTGCAAAATATTATAAAGCTCTAGATTTTTACGTTAAACAGAACAACATTTTACAAATTTCTAGAAAAATGCAATAATAGTCCATTAAATCTGAATCTGGGTCAGCTCGGCCCTAAAACGTACTCGGCCCCCGAGTCAGCTCGGCCCTATTCCAACTTGGCTCGGGTCAACTCAGCCCACTTTTCAATTATTAATATTTAGGTTTGTGTTATCACTATTTATTGTAATTATTTATAATGCACGGATTGGCAGTTTCAGAACTTGCAGCAGACAGGCTTTTCTTATCGTAAAGATAACTGATTGAGTATCTCACTGTATTTCTGACTCGTGGTAGGTTTAACCGTAATTTTAAATACCTTCAGTGTCAAACAATGTGTTGAAATATACAAAATCGGACATTCAAAATTTTAATTGCCCCAAACTAGCAATTTAAACACGGCTAAATTTGCATTCTTTTGCAAGCGAAGAGAAACTAAGGAAAACAACTCTTGTTTTTACTCGATTAACCTCAGTTTTTTATGTAGTTCATAAAGGGACTGTCAATTGGTGGAGACAGCAAGAGTTTATAAATATAACAAAGAGCAAACAGTGCTTTATATTACATTTATTGTTACAAAATTATAATACAAACAAGTGAAGAGGCAGAACGAGACAAAATGAGGATATACTAGTACATGTATTAATCAACAACATCTTTTATTTACACAAAAATACCCGTGCCAAGTTGGTATAGGGCGGAGTTGACTCTTTTCCATTAAATCTGTGCATATGATATGTCTGAAACAGTCATCATTTTCTAAATGTTCTCGTTGGTTGAAAAAAATAAATTTTTGAGTTACAAAGTAAGGATAATTTTAATATTTGAAATCAAGCAAAATAACATGTGAAAATTTTACAGGGTTCCCACGCTGTCCGGGAAAACGGGAAATGTCTGTGAAATTGAAAACAGGAGCTCCCGGTCTGAAAAGTCCGGGAATTAGTGTTGATACATAAAAAAGGCCGGGAAGGTACGGGAATTAGTCTGGAAAAGGGGAGGTAAATCAAACAACCAAAATGGCGGTCTTAGCACAGTATATTGACTTCCACATCTTGAATGTTGATGATTTTTCGATTTACAAGTGTTTTTGGAGGCCAAGGTTGACATTTATGAGATTTAACATTTATTTTCTGGTTACTTATAATGGCTGTTTTGTTTGGAAAATCTGATAAGACAGTCAAAAATCGACCTCAAGTTTGCTTGATTCAATGATTGGCCCATGCTCAAAGCACATGAAAAAGATGAAAGCTCACAGGTCTGGTTGTTTCCTTGGGCAATTTTTTTATCCTAATTGCTCACAACCATGCTAAAAGCCAAAGGTAAATCAATATAAAATAAAGTTTATTTTAACAATACGTTACAATAGTATTACATACATGAACTATTTATTGTCAAGGCAGAGCACAGCCAATTGGCGACACCATATTTGGGTCGCATTAAATACCCAAAGATAGCCAAAATATACTAAAAATAAATGTGTAATACTAAAAAAAGTGCTGTTTTAATCATGAATACAATATACACTTTCACTTAGATGTAATCAAACATACCCAAATATACATATTTGAACCAAAATATGCTCAAATACAGTATACTCCATTAAAGCTATTAAATAGAAAAACAAAACAAATGATAATGAGCTTGTATGAAATTTCAACAAAATTATATCCTACAAATTTAAATATAGACAACAAATATTATCATATCTTGCAAGTACATTTGCCTATTGGAGTATTCATTAATGAACCAGTTAGATTTAAGCAAATCATTAATGTCACAATTTTTTTTCTTACAACATCTGAACTGCCAATTTCAATGGAATGAATGACAGTTATAGCTGGCTAAGTCATATTATTTTGTAAATATCATTTTCTCATTAAAATCTATTAGTATACAAACCAAAATGAATATTGCTATAATTGTGTTTGGGTATATTTGGGTATTTCGTGCTGCTGCCATATTTTGTAAGATCAAATCAAAAGATTTGTCATTGAAATACAAATAAGAATCTCTAAATAACATCCAAAACAGCAAAATTGAAAATATTGTAGACTAGGGTTTGATTTAGTTCATATATGGTACTGGAAAGTGCACCCCCTGTGGCACTGGCTAAAGCAGAATACAACATTTAATAATGAAAGTTGTGAAATTTTGAATGTAGAAACACCTGCAGGCAGTTTTTATATACCGTTCAGTGTGACATGCTTTTGCCATTCTATGAAGCCTTAGTGGACAGAGGTCAAATGTCAGGTTACTTATTAAAGTACTATGAATATCTGGTAAAAAAGTGACCTCTTGGAAGCATTAAAAACAGCAAAATTACATGAAAATTGCAGACAACCTGCAAAAACAGTTGCTGTCACAAAGTTTCATTATTTTTAGACACTTAATGTATTTCTTAGATAGAGTTAGATTTATGTCATGAACTACATGTATTATATTGGTGTTATTAAATGTTGTTCTAAACATTGCCATGAACATATTTATAGGACAAAAAAAAATCAAATTGCTTGAAATTTAATCTTCTAAAAAGTCCTTAAAATAAAAAATGGTCCTTGATAAGTCCTGGAAAAGTCCTTAAATTTTCAAAATATCTAAGAGTGGGAACCCTGATTTTAATTGAAACATGAAAAAACTGAAATGTAACACCAATACCGCGATTTAAATGATGACATACTGTTTTCAAAATGGCCGACATATGGTCTATGTTTGGTCCATTAAAATAAATTTGACTTTGACTGAATATATTGTTGTTTTCTTGTGCCATACAGCAGAAAATACCTTAATGTTATCAGGCTGGTGAAAATGCCTGATCGGGCTTAAACATAAAATATCATATTTCTAAAAATATGTTTCACTCTCACTTGTTTTGTTTATTAAGAGTTTACATACAATGTATGATACAAATCAAAATAAAAATATTTTGGTTATCTTTCATTGTCTTAGAATTATTTCCCTTTTTCCCCATTTTCTGGAAACAAAATATTTGAAGTTCATAAAAATTATGTTGTAATTAAAAATTCTTACTAGAAATGTGTCCAACAAATTCATTTTGCTCTAGTTTATTGTGCCAGTACCTTTATTCTATATATTTGGATTAAATATTCTGTTTTTGGCATTTATATTTTGACAATGCTTTGACACTGAACATTATGTTTGGAAGTTTTCTCTGAAAACTGAATGCAATGTATGCTGACAGGTGTTGGCGCAATGAATAAGAGCATAAAGAAGTTATTTAACCTTTTTTGCTTTACACTTTGCATATGTAACATAATTTTTAAGGACTTCAAAAATTATGTGTTATGAAAACATGAAAAAAGGGAAATAATTCTCACTGAAGTGACAGTAGCCAAATATTTTTCTTTCAGTTTATGTCAAATATTACTCTCAATAAACAAACAAAGTTTAAAAGAAATATATTTATTATTTTTCTAGAAATATGATTTTTTAGCTCGACTATTCGATAAGAATAAGTAGAGCTATTGTAGTCACCCGAGCGTCGGCGTCTGCGTCGGCGTAACCACTTATGTTAAAGTTTTTGTAATAGTTCAAATATTTTCAAAGTCCATTGACATATGGCTTTGAAACTTTGAACACTTGTTCACCATCATGACCCCAACCTGTAAACAGGAGGAGGTAACTGTATCAAGCATTTTGACAGAATTATGCCCCTTTTTCGACTTAGAATTTACGTTAAAGTTTTTGTAATAGTTCAAATATTTTCAAAGTCCATTGACATATGGCTTTGAAACTTTGCACACTTGTTCACCATCATTACCCCAACCTGTAAACAGGAGGAGGTAATTGTATCAAGCATTTTTTTTACTATCAAGCACTAAGAATAGTCGAGTATTGCTGTCCTACCGACAGCTCTTGTTATGTCATAAGCCCGATAGGGCATTTTCACCAGCCTGGTTATAGCTTATGACAATTTTTGTACCATATTAAGATTTATTTGTTGTTTTCTTTCTGGTTTCAAAGCAGTAAGTACCATGAACTAAGAGGAGCACAGTATAAATACATGACTTTTGAATTTTGATTAAGTAATCTTTAAAGGATTATTGGACCAAGAGTGAAAATGACAAATACTTACCAGTATGGAGTATGTGCTTATTCATTGTAGACTAGTTCACTTTAATAAAATGAAAATATGTTTCTATTTATAGATTTGAAGCCTCCGATGATTATTATATATATGATATTGGTATATGTACTCAAGCAATAGATTCTACAGATTCGGGCAAGGATGTTGGTGTCTTACAAATCAACAAAACAGATAAGGCAACAAAAGTTGTCGGGAGAATTTCGAATGCCGACATCATGTCGGGACGTAAGTCATCAAGATTTTGCAGAATTGTGACAGTTGATTCATGGCAATGAGCCTAATTGTAATTTATCGCTCAAAATTGATTCAGAAATTAAGTGGGTTTTTTGGGCGGGATTTAGTACATGTAGCTGGTTGCATGCCGAGAAATTGGTAACTATGAAAGCTGGTTTGTGGGAAGACAAATGAGTGAACTGAATATCTTTTAACTATTTTCATTCCTTACCTGTACAGTGTTCATAACATATTTTGTGTCAAAGAGGGATTCAAAGAAATAAACAACATTGATATATAGATTGACCACTTGAAATTTTATGCTTCTGTTCTCAATGGGAGAAAAACATGATGTTAAGGCACTGGGAATACCTCTGTTTAAGTACCTGAAGTAAATAAATGTATATAAGGAAAAAAAAGCTTGGTTTTAGAGCAGAATGGGCTGCGGGGCAGTTGGATAACACAAGAAAAGAGATTATACAATGTTTGATATTAGCTGTTTTTTATAACTTTCAGCTGATTGGGTGTTGCTTGAATATAACAATGGTGACCCTTACGGTTCGCATTGTAAGGGTGAAAATAGGCGTGCAAGAATCATGTTTATATGCGATCAGTCGGCACCCGATGTAAGTTAAACTTTTCTTGTTTTTTTTCTCTCCCAGAATTGATGCATCTGTTGAAAAACTAGTTAAATTCTGGGATACAAATATAATTTTTACAGACATCAAGTCTACATATGGTGTCATAGTGAGTTCCAATAATTGAAGGCATTTGATCAACAAAAATTGCATTTAACAATTGTTCTATTATGTTTTTATGCCACCGCAGCATCTGCGATGCGGTGGCATATAGCGATTCACCTGTGTTTGTGTGTGTGTGTGTTATATAGATTATATAGTGAACTTAAAAAATCTTCTTGTGAAAAACCAATTTCAACCAAACTTGGCAGGATTGTTCCTTGGGTGAAGAGCTTCCAAAGTTGTTCAAAGAATTTCATTCCATGCAGAATTATAAGAATAAATTTAAAAAATCTTCTTGTAAAGACTCTAAAGGCCTAGAGCTTAGATATTTTGCATAAGGCATTGTCTGGTAGACCTTTACCAAGATTGTTCAAATTATAGCCCTGGGGTCAAAATTGGCCCTGCCCCGGGGGTCATTGATTTTCACTATGTACATATAGTAAAAACTTAAAATACCTTCTTGTAAAAACCCAAAAGGCCTAGAGCTTAGATATTTTGCATAAGGCATTGTCTGGTAGACCTCTACCAAGATCGTTCAAATTATAGCCCTGGGGTCAAAATTGGCCCCGCCCCGGGGGTCATTGATTTTCACTATGTACATATAGTAAAAACTTAAAATACCTTCTTGTAAAAACCCAAAAGGCCTAGAGCTTAGATATTTTGCATAAGGCATCATCTGGTAGACCCTTACCAAGATTGTTCAAATTATAGCTCTTGGGTCAAAATCGGCCCCGCCCCGGGGTCATTGATTTTCGCTATACTGTATGTACATATAGTAAAAACTTAAAACACCTTCTTGTAAAGACCCAAAAGGCCTAGAGCTTAGATATTTTGCATAAGGCATTGTCTGGTAGACCTCTACCCAGACTGTTCAAATTATAGCCCTGGGGTCAAAATCGGCCCCGCCCCAGGGGTCATTGGTTTTCCTTATATGTATATAGTAAAAACTTACAAAAAATTCTTCTAGCAATTGACAAATGCTAGAGGTTAGATATTTTGCATGAAACATTGTGTTGTAAACCTCTAGCAAGATTGTTCAAATTATAGCCCTGGGGTCAAAATTGCCCCGCTTTGGGGGTCATTGATTTCAATATATACATATAGTAAAAAATAAAAAAGTCTTATTGTCTGAAGGTACAAGGCTTATAGCTTTAATATTTGTTAAATAATATCATCTAAAGGTACTCTACCAAAGTTGTTCAAATTTTGCCTCTTGTGTCAAAATTAGCCCCGCCCCTGGGAGCCATAGGTTTATTTTATATGTATATAGTTAAAACTTAAAAAATCATCTTCTCTAAATTTACAAAGGATAAAATTAAGATATTTTGCATGAAACATTGTGTAGTGAACCTCTAGCAAGATTGTTCAAATTATAGCCCTGGGGTCAAAATTGGTTCCGCCCCGGGGGTCATTGATTTTCATTATGTACATATAGTGAAAAAAAAAAAATTTTGTCTGAAGGTTCAAGGCATAGAGCTTTGATGTTTGATATATAATATCATCTATAGGTCCTCTACCAGAGTTGTTCAAATGTCAAAAATTGGCCCTGCCGAGGGGCAGTGATTCTCATTATGTACACGTAGTAAAAACAGAAAATAAAACAAATGTTTTCTGAATGGGAGAAAGCTATAGCTTAGATATTTGACTTGAAATATTGTTTGGTGGACCTGTTTGAAGATTGTTATTAAACCCTTGGGTCAAAATTATGCCTTGCCCAGGGGGACAGTGACCTACTTTCTTGTCCTTTGATGTACAGCAATGACATTTTGACAGTGTGCACAGTTTTAGTTGTAAAATTGAACTTTGACCTAGATTTTGATGATGTGACCTACTTTCTTGTCCTTTGATGTACAGCTATGAAATTTGAACCATGCGGTGGCATAGCATTTTTCTCAAATGCAATCTTGTTTAAAAATTGAAATCAGAGTGATCCTTGAAATGACTCTTTGACCCTTCAAATTTCCAATAGGCCTGATTTTAACTGAAGGGTCAAATTTTGTTTAAATCATGGGACTTTCACCTTTTAGTTGGTAAAACTTAATCAAAATGACCCTCAAGATTTCATGGCTTGTGAACACCCTGACCTGTATTTATTTTGTTGTCTATGAAAATAAGCTACAGATATTCTTGTTATTAAAGTCACATATATATTATATACAACGGATAGGAAGCTCCGAAAGTATACCATAGTCAGATTCAGACCCACAATCCTCTGCACACTTCGGTGATAATCAGGTTTTCCGGCTAGTCTTCGATTTTTGTGCTTTCATTAAAACTTTGGCGATGTCCGTGAATTATTGTTTACATTGCCAACAAGGATTTTCACCTGAGAAATATTTGTGTGGAAAAGTGTATGTTGTAGTTTTAGAATAAATAACTATTGCTTCTTATATAAGTATAAAATGCTTCGACTTTCTTGTTGATGTACCTCAGGGAATTCAATATGGCGGCATATTGGTTACGTTTACCCAGGATACATCAAATCTCGCAAAATCCCGCGACACATGATAACTTGTGCAAACACAATTCCACCGATACTGTATTTAACTATGTGGTGTCACAGTTTCTTCTCCATCTATATTTAACTCCATGTTAAAGTCAAGGCCATGAAAGCTAAAAAATAGTGGGTTTTTTTTCATTTTTCATTTTACAGGAGATAGCGAGAGTGTTAGGTGAGGAGAACAATAAAACAGAAAGCTGTTACTATCTGTTTGAAATCAACACGGCAGTCGTGTGTAAGAAACAGCCTTTCATCACGGTTGGGTTAAGTGTGGGCTCAGTTTTGTTAATAGTGTAAGTACAAATGTATTTAATTTGATTGTATACCTGTGCAGATGCTGCGAGTCCTAAAAAATGATTTTGCAAGGCAGTACATATGATTCGACTTGATGTCAATAACGTTATACAAACACAGTGTAATGATGCGTTAAATGTTAGTATTACACTATAGGTGCATCAATGAAAAATGATTCTTTTGCACTTAAAACAGTTTTTATTTTTGGATAAATAGAATATTATATTAGTGTATGATTCATTACTGAATTTATTAAACTTGTTGAATGAAATAATATTTAACTTGTTCTAAAAAAAATTTTGAACCTACACTTATTAAATATCCTCTATAAATGGGTCTCAAGCATATAAAAGCTACACACAGTTGTCTTAAATCAGTACAAATGTAGATTAATTTTGTAAGTACGATGGTATCTTGGTCAAAATCATACCAAAGCAGGGCTTTTCCTAGGAATTTCAGGCTGCAGGCCCTTTGACCCCCATGATTGAGATTTTGGGAGTCCATATTTGTTTTTAGGGCTGCCTATTTTTAAAACTTATTTCAGCAGCTGAAATCAGTTAAGTGTGGTCATGAATTATTGTTTGTGTGGCGGCAGACTTTTGTTTCCTGGAACAAGAATTTTTACACACATTTTTCAGTACTGGTTACTTCCATGAATGGATTCCTGAATGTGTTTATAAGCAATAACTTTCAATGCAATGAAACTGAAATAAATTCTGTATAAACTTAAATCATTGTTCATACTTTTCGGCCCAGCCTTGTATATGATAACTTGTACTCAACTTATTAAATAAACTCAGTATATCCATGTAAGATCATCTACTATATATGATGGAATGACATATCTACAGTATGTGCAAATTTATAATCCACTCGGAGTCACGCTTTTTGTAATTACTGGTTACTCGCAGGAATTAGCATATTCCTCTTTATCTGTACTGTATCAACTGGTTTGTGAGGGGCAAGATGTTGTATCCGTGAAGAAGAAACTTTATATTTATAATCTTTGCTTAGTACTGGTTGGTTCCAGGAACGGATTTGAAAGTGTTTCAATAAGCATATAGCTTCCAACACAAACTAAAATAAAACATGTATACACTAACAGGTTAGTCATATTGGGATATGAGCCTTAAAGCAACTATTGAGATATAGCCCTCACTATGGTACTCATGTTAATTATTGAAAGTTTTCTTGGCCAGATTAGATTTAAAAAAACATTTAAATGCTTTTTACTCGGAGCAATTTTTCACAGACGTAATAATTTATTTGGAAAAACATAATTAGCGAACGGTCTAGAATTTTGCACACAGGTTATTTGTCCAGACTTTCATCAAATTGTTCATAAATCTTGTAAATCGTAAAATATTTTAAGTCTCATCATGTCAAATAAACTCAGTGGAGTCCCTTTAATACATACATATTATCGTTTCATGTCTAAACATTTCTTGTTACCTATAAAACATATACTTAGTACATGTATAGGCAAGGCCTTTTTTGATTGTAATCTTCATTCTGATATTTGCATTTGGAAAGAATCTTAATCATAGGGAAATTTAAATTTTTCATGTAAGGAATTGAGAAAGAAAGTTGAATTTATGGCTTTTGAAAAAATCACGATTTTTAAATGTGTATTAACATCTGAAACCAAACTTGAAAAAGTATGTTTGAAAAGATTTGTTAATTTTTTCCCAACTCTTATGATTACTGGTGATAATTTTCCATTTTAAACGACATGTATTGATCACACCAGCTACTGTGTGAAGAAGCTCTACAGCTACACTGTAGCTTACAAAACAAAGATGGTTCTACCCAGGTGCCTGCTTGATCATGCCTGAAATAATGCACAGAATGACACCTGAGGTTCCTCCTCAGGTAAAGCTGTCACCATATGACCTTTATAATGCAATGTTGATGTAACTTAAACCCTTCTTCACACCACCTCCCCCCACCCTGAAAAGAAAATGCATTGGTTTTACCTAAAGAAAAATTAGTAAAAGTATCACTGTATGTTTATTAAACCATATGCTTTTAAATAATTATTTTCAGGTTTTTTAGTGTTGTAGCCGTGTACTTACTGGCAGGCTGTTTGTATAACAGATTTATCTTGCAAGCAAAGGGTTTAGAGCAGATACCAAACTTGAGTTTCTGGGAAGACTTTGGGAATCTTCAAGCAGTATGTATACAGATATACTTTAGGGTGTTTTGTTATCAGTTACTGGTATTTTCCATTTGGACAAGATCATTTATCATATATTTGGGAAAATTAAAATTTATACTGGCCGAAATTTATACACCTGAGGCCCTCCTATACAGAGGGGCACCTGAGGCTCTCTTCCAACGATAAAGCTTGAAAGTCGCCAAATGATTTTTACATCGCCAATGAGGCTCAAATCCTTACCAACCCAACAACAAAGTTACTCAACCGTGTCACATAAAAAAGCTTTGATTTAAGAATCTGTTTCTTGATCAAGTCATTGAAATTAATGTTGAGGTCTGTTAGTCATAATACAGCTTTAATTCTTTTTTTTTCCAGGATGGCTGTGATTTAGTATGTAGATCTCGGAAATCCAGACAACCGAGGACTTATAAAGGAATCGGTGATGATCAGCTTGGCGAGAATGATACTGCGCCAACTGATGAACATTTACTACCAATGTAACGTGTCACCAATATAAAGTGTCAGTGTTTTTTTGTGTAATATTTAGCATGTGATTGAACAAAGAAAAGATAGATACATAGATACATTATTGAACTCAAAATGTGCTCAGTGGCTGGTTGATAAAGATAATAAGTAATTGTAATTGAACACATACAAAATATGATGGTTTTTTTTTATACCATTCCAAATATAGTTATAATGTACAGTGTAGCCTCTGCAAAATGGCCTTCTGTAGAGCTAAAATCTCTTTGACCCTTTACCATGTGTTTATCTACAACATTTCAGAAATGGACTAGTCAAACATCCATATTTGCAACTGTTCGTTATCAATTATGGCAATATAAAGATAAAAATTGAAAATCAAATCACGTAACAGTATAGAGCCTGGTCAGACTGCACTTATATACTGACTGACCTGGCAAAGGCTTATCACTTTTGCATCCAGAAGTTAAAGGGTTAAAACATTAGCATCAATTCTTACCAGCAAATTTTTCCCAATCCCAAAGAAGTGTTTGTTGATAAATAAGCATCACAAGAGCAACACCCATCAGCATTAAAAAAAGTTGTTGTCTCACTTAGTGTTAGTCTGCAGAGGTTGTACTTATAATTATTGTCTAAGAATGAAGTCACAAATGTTTGAAAACAAGAGTTATTGCCTCCTTTATGTTTTAAGTGACTGATACTTTATTTGAGCCGCGTCATGACTAAACCAACGTAATGCGTTTGCGACCAGCATGGATCCAGACCAGCCTGCGCATCTGCGCAGTCTGATCAGAATCCATGCTGTTCGCTAGCAGTTTCTTTACTTGTTATAGGGTCTGTTACATAAACATGTACAAATTTCAGGAAAAAATATTAAGAGTGCACTGTTATGTTTCCATGTAAAATTTTGCAAACATTTTTGATACAAAAATAGTGGAATAATGGACTGGGTTGTAAAAAGCATGTGAAAAAAAACAACATTTGTTGTAAAATGAAATTAAAATTAGTAAGGTAGGTTAATTGATTCATGTAATGATAGGGGTTAACATTGTTCTTGTCTGAAATAATGCACAGAGGGGCACCAGAAGTTTTCCTCCACCAGCAATGCTGAAAAGTCGCCATATGACTTTTAAAGTGTTGATGAAAAGTACATTGTAAAACCAAACTCCTTCGAAAAAATAAACGTTGATGAGAAGAGAGTTGTATTGTGAAACATGTTTCTGAGGCAGTCAGTGATACAACAAACACAGATGAAAATAATACATTCCTTCATTACTGTTTTTGCCTTTTTGCTCTATGTTACATTTTATCATGATGTTTATATGTAATATTGTCTTGTTAAGCATTTTGAATTGTTGTGTGAAATTGAATGAATTAAGCTGTCTGTGACCAAGAAGGTATGCCATATACAGAATCAGGGACAATGCAAATTTCAATGATAAAAATAATGAATAGTCTGGCATTCCATACTTCTCTGATATTAGATTGTAAATGATAGAATAAATCCTGGAGACTATGCCCATAAATGATTTACTTTGTTTGATTCTAAGCAATTCACTGAGTGTTTCACCAAAACAATTTTAGTCAGAAATTTTAGGCATTTGTCATATCTGAAAATATTGAATAGAGCTGTGACTTTTACATAATATTAAATATTTGATGTCAGAAAATTTTGAAGGGTGGGGAGTTGGCATAATTTATGGCATATTTTGTAACAATATGGAATTTTGAACTGCTATAAGGGGTTGGAAAGTGGGTAGTGGGGAGGGGTGCTTGGGGTAATTGAAAATGCCATTGTTATTTGTTTGAAAAATTTGAATGGTTATATAGGAATCATTAAATGCATGTTAAAAAACTTTTATGACAAGGAAAATAACTTTTATTCCAGCAAATTTTTGAAATGAATATTCATAAATGTCCGGCATTATTTCTGTTTTTAGAGAACATAATGAGATTTTTTATTGAATAAATGATTTCTGTTTTTAGAAAACATAAGGAGATTTTTTTATTGAATGAATGCTTATTTTGTAGATTAGTGTTGTTTCGGAAAACTTCAGTATAATGATTCTTGTATATTACGAATCACAAAAAATATTGCGCCATAAGATCATACATGGAAAATGATGTCATACATGACACTTCTAAAGCTGATATCACAGGGCATCCATTAGGTTTCAAAATTTGGAAGTGAGAGACTGAAAGTGTCTGACATTGGAAGTCTTATTATATAGGTAAAGAAGGAAAAGCATTATATTTTGAATGTCAAAAACAGGATTTCCAAATTTTCACTAATGGAAGTCCTGATATCATACCAATTTCATTCAAAAATGGTGTCCTATACTATGCTTTGTAAAGGATTTATACTATTATGCGGTTTTTAAAAAATTTTCTAATAAGCTCCAGTTGGCATTTTTTGCCATTTTTCATCATTTTTGGTTGGGAGATGTCTATGACACTATTTTGTTAACTGTATATTCCATGACATAATCATTTGATTGTAAAATTCAACACATTGTTTGAAACTTTGAAAACTTGTTTGTTTATATCTGAAACTTGTAAGGATTAAATCCCCTGCAACTTTGGATACTTATTTATTAATATCTGAAACTTGTAAGGAATATTGTATTTCTTACTCACTATTTCAGTAGGCAATAGATTCCCTTTAAAGTTTTAACTCACTATTTCTTTTCTTTGTGCATAGTTATTATTTAACTAAGCTTTACTGGGCTCTGAAAACAGGTTTAAGTTTAATGGTGGTTTTATAGGGGTTTTTTTTAGACTGTTTACATAGTGACCAAAAGGGAGACTATTCTTTATGCATTTCTTTTTTTTCATTTGCACTTAGATTTTTTGCTGAGATCACCTTTTATGTAGAGGATATTCTTGTTTAATTTTTTTTTTTAAACAAATATATATAGAAATTTTTGTCAATTCAGGTTTGCTTTAAAGTGTAAAAAACTATAAGTGTATTGGCTGCAAAAGTCTACTTCTAAAATACAATGTACCTGTTTGACTATAATAGACTTACTCTGGAATTAAGAATATTTGAGTTTTTCCTAGCTAACCAATCTGTACAGTAGGTACAAACAAACTTTTACAGTTATAGCTTTGAAAATACGTGCAACAGGTTGACAAATATATTGTGAGTGACGGGTAGTGCACCATGAACCTATAATGGTAAAAGTTTGTTTCTACCTACGGATTAAAGCTAGGAAAAACCGATATTTGCCGAGTTCCGAACAACATCTATTACTGATGTTTGAATTTGAGATTTCTGTTGTATCAAACAATTTTGTTTGTAAAAAGGCATAAATGACAACTTATTGTATGAAAAATTAATTTGTGTAGTCTACTATTGTAAAATAAATACTCATTTTTTTTCTGTTTAGATATATTAACATTATGTCCATTAAGCTTCTTATATAAGAAATCATGTACTGTTGATTAAAATGAACTCTTTCAGAGTTCCAGAAATTTAAATGTAAACTTTGAAATTCTTTCAGAAATTAACTTGGCCACTTAAAAGGGAAAAAAAATGTACTGAGAATTAAACTGAAAATCATTTTTAGCTCGACTATACGAAGTATATGGAGAGCTGTCCTACTCGCCCCGGCGTCGGCGTCGGCGTCCGCGTCCGCGTCCAGATTTTAGATTAAAGTTTTGGTGCAGTAAAATATTTTTCATTATAACTTTGTCATTTCTTAAGGTATCAACTTCAAACTTCAAATATATGTTCCTTATCATCAACCACATCTTATGTGACAAGGTTCATAACTCTAGCACCAATATTTTCAGATTTATCTCCCCTTGAACTTAGAATTTTCCTTAAAAAATACTATTTTTTACTGTAACTTCATTATTTCTTAAGGGATCAACCTCATACTTCAAATATATGTACCTTATCATCATCCCCATCTTATGTGACAAGGTTCATAACTCTAGCACCAATATTTTCAGATTTATCTCCCCTTGAACTTAGAATTTTCCTCAAAAAATACTATTTCTTACTGTTTCTTCTTAATTTCTTAAGGGATCAACCTCATACTTCAAATATATTTACGTTATCATCATCCCCATCTTATGTGACAAGGTTCATAACTCTATCACCAATATTTTCAGATTTATCTCCCTTTGAACTTAGAATTTTCCATACAAAATATTATTTTTTACTGTTACTTATTTATTTCTAAAGGGATCAACTTCATACTTCAAATATATTTACGTTATCATCATCCACATCTTATGTGACAAGGTTCATAACTCTAGCACCAATATTGCAAGAATTATCTCCCCATAAACTTAGATTTTTTTACTAGAAAAATGTTATTTTTTATAATATTTTTTTATTTTTAAAGGTATCTACCTCAAACTTCAAATACTTATTCCTTATCATCAATTACATTTAATGTGACAATGTTCATAACTCTTGAAGCAATATTTACACATTTATCTCTCTTTGAACTTAGGATTTTCTTTAAGAAATATAATAACTTCTTTACTTTTTAAGGTATCTACTTCAAACTTCAAATATATATTTCTTATCATTACACAAATTTTGTGTGACAAGGTCCATAACTCTAGCATGACTATTTCTAGAATTATTTCCCTTGATCTTGGAATTTATTTTAACAAATGTTATTTTTTTACTATAACTTAATACATAATTATACATAATTGATTTAATCTTTCATAAATTTGTCCTCCTTACTGCGTCCAGTATTTTATAAGTCGAGCTTCGCTGTCTCCTTTGACAGCTCTTGTTTGTGTGATTCTTAGCCCGATTTGAGTTAAAAGCATTTCACACTTTTACCTTTGGGGTCTGTTTTTTTAAATTTTAAATGAAAGTTTTGGAAAAATAGACTGAGTAAATGATTTGAAATTCTGCACACAAGTGTTGGTCCAAACACATAAATCTAAAAAAAAAGTCAGTGGTCTCCCTTTAACTTTGTAGTACTCATGGTAGTAATAGAGACTTGTCTGTGCCACACATATAGAGCAAGGTCAGCATGCATGTACATAGCTTTAATCAGGGCATTTATATATTGTATATATATAAGGGAGATAATTATGTTAATTATGTTTCTTGTTTTGATTACTTCCCTTTATGTATTTCTTATTATGTGTCCATGGGCAGAATTAAGTACTAAGTCATAATTTTTTTCCATATTAGCATGTGTGATTGAAAAGTTTTTAGCAAAATATGTATGAAAATCATTATAAAAGTTTCAATCATGATATAGACAGTTAAGAGCATTATTAATGTTTTTAAATTTTTTAAACAAATAAGATATACACTGTATATTGGTAGAGGAGGCATTATAAGACTCAAAGTGCATGGGTCGTGTATAATTTTTTAGAAAGAATACATGTTTGTAAGTATGTATGGGTATTACGTCATTAAATTTGAAAAGAAATCACTGATTGATTGAATATGTTTAATCATTCCAAAATATTTTGTTAAACTTGTATAATGCATATCTGTATCATATTATTTTGCTTGCCAGGTCTTCATTTTC